TGCCAGTGGGCCATTAAGGTAAGAGTAGGCATAAATACATGGCAGTCCCACCGCAGGAGAGACCTGAAGTTCTCTGCAAATAGGGGGAAAATATAACCCAAAGTATAAGACCGTTGATTATCTCGTTACTGTGGCAACTGTCAAGTCGTGGAATAACCTAGCCAGTGAGTGAACAGTCAGTGCTTGAAGTTGATGTTTTGGGAGCAGGAAAAATGGACAAGTCTAATGATCTGAGAGACTTCTAAAAGGGCCAGAATGTGACGGTGAGGCAACTGGGTCAAATCGTCTACAAAATGACTCGCCTTGTCTAGTGTCATGTTCCCAATATGCAGATGTTAGTACAAACCAAAAGTAGTCCAAGAAAGAACAACCAGTGAACCAGCAACAGGACTGTGCTGAGGATCAAAGGCTGGGACATGTTTTTCAATCACACAAGCAAGTTACTGTAGCACACACGACTGAAAACCTTAATGATGGCTGTGATAGAAACGTGTCAGAGCAAACAGAGCATTTATAGCTTTTTGTGTAGCTGCAGAGCAGAGCACATAATGACCCCTGACCCGCCGAAAGCATGTGAGTGTTAGAACTAGACCATGGAGCGATGGAAGAAGGTGGCCTGGTGATGAATCACGTTTTCTTTTACGTCATGTGAACAGCAGCATGCTTCTGTGTTGTTTACCGGACAAGAGGATGCACAATGAGAAAAAGTTAAGCAGGCAGAGGCAAGCGTGATGCTCTGGACAAGGTTCTGCCCGCAAAAGTTTAATCCTGCATTGATGCTAATGTGACTTGGCCACGCACCGTCTACTTAAATGTTGTTGTCAATGGCTTACGCCCCTTCATATAAACTATCCCTTGATGACTTCTTCAGCAGAATAAAGCTTCCTGCCACTCTGCAAATATTGTTCAGGAATGGTTTAAAAAACATGACAAAGTTCAAGATGTTTCCTCAATGATTTGAATGATTTGATCTGAATTAAACTGTTGACATACGTACACTGACTGGACTAAATGCAGTAACTGAATAAGGACGTAACATGAAGTTTAGGAATGGGATATATATTACATAGAATTTTCTATAATGCGGTACTTATGCAATGTCAGAAACAGAGTGAAAAGGAAAATGCAGTAATTCTGAGCAAAAGAGACCTGCCATTTTTATACAGATTCTGAACTCTTCAGCTTTAGCTCTTGGAGTAGAAATGTTATGAATGGTTGTAGAAGGGTTTTCTTTTCTTCAGTAATTGTGCCGATTCACATTATTTTGATGCCCTACATGCTGAGAACACACAAGAGGCGCGCCGCCTATGGAGGAGAGGGGACAACAAACTCGTTGAGAAATCTTAACACAAAAGCTCACAAACATTTTCTTCCATCAATGTAGCATTTTATAGAATGTGTACAAAGCAATCACATTAGATGTAGCCTTGAGGATCTTCACCAAGCGACCCACAGTGTTGTTGTTTTCTGGGTTTCCAGTGTAAATCTAAGAAAACACAACTGTCCTGCAAAATGATTTCCATGAAGATGTTTTGCATATCTTGAAACGTCTTACCTTTACTCAGAAACATCTTAAGTCGTGTCAGTTTTGTATGTTTTTAAAAATATTTATTTGTATTTACACAACAGCTGCTGAGTGACAAATTGTTTCCAGCAGCAACCACTTCAACCTTGCTCTAAAGTGACAGTGAATCATACGTTTCTTGTAGGTACCTGGTGAAGAATTCGTCCACACTCTTCAGTGCCAGCGACTACGAGGTTGCCCCCCCGGAGTACCACCGCAAAGCTGTGTGAGAGCTCTTAGCACGCAAAGCTCCTAGCGGGACGAGTCATCCCCTCTTTCCCAGATCACAAATAAAACAACCATTACTGTCTTTTTTGAGTGCAGACTTAGATTAGATTTTTCACTTGAACTGAAGTGTTTCCTCCACACAGGTCTCAGGAGCTTGTCACGGTTAAGAGGAAAAGAAAAAAAACATTAACCCTTTTCAGCTGAATCGCTTTTCTGGTTTTCCCCCTTTTTTCCTTTTTATATAGTTTTTTTTTGTTGTTGTTTGTTTTTTTAAAGACACGACGAAAAATGTGTTTCTCTGTAGTCCGTTTACACAAGCAGCTCTTTGGTGTTTTTGTGCATTCCAGCTGATAGATACTTGTTGCATGTGTGTATTTATTAGTGTTTCTTCTGCCACATGAGGTGCAATTTGTTACTGGGCGACACAGTCAGCACTCAGCAGTTCAAGTTTTTGTATCTGTATCTTGTGTATTTGTATCAATTTTTTAAAAAAGAAGAACAAAAACATGTTTCTACACAATCTCTACGTTGTTCGCTGTGTTTTCTTGGTTACATCTTATTTGGTATTTTAAATGTTGAGGTGCATCATCCCAAAATGTTTCTCACTGTGTGAAAAATAACAGAGAAAAAGCTCACCGCTGCTCCCTGCTGTCCTGTACTTGAACTAAAGAACAAGGTTTTCTTATTTACCTGACAAGATGGTGAGCAAAGACAGACAGTTTTCATGTGTGTCAGGTACATGAAAAATTGTTCAAGTGCCATGTGAGAGAAAAGTTGGCAATTTAGGTCTCAGTGCTTTCATGGCAAACATCCCAAATGCTTGCATCTATAAATGTTTGACTCATTGTGAATTTAATGTCCTTTTTAAGATTTTCATGCCCAGAAAGAGCGACACTTTTCAACAGCACTTATATCAAGGTCAATAAGAATACATTCACGTAGTTTAATCGTAACAGCTGGACTTGCCTGAGTTTCTTGAAGATGTTTCACCTCTCATCCAAGAGGCTTCATCAGATCTGACTGACTGGGAGTTCCACATGAAGCCTCTTGGATGAGAGGTGAAACGTCTTCAGGAAACTCAAGCAAGTCCAGTTGCTACGGTTAAACTACGAGAATAACCATGACCTGGATGACTGAGAATCTTCATAGACAGTAAGAATACATGTTTATGAATTAAGAATTTACATTCAGCAGTACAAATTCAAATCCTAAAAATATAGATGTTTCAGACTGTTTCAAAGGAGTATGTCTTTGGAAAAATATTTTGTCACTGGAGACAAAGATGTATACGATCCAAACCAAGACTGAGAGTTCAGTTTTAGTTTGTTTTTTTTGGACCTGATTACGTACCCTCAATGTGTATAGAGACCCACAAAATGTCGTTCATTTTGTGTAGATCAGAAAGTGTCTGACAGAGCCACCCCTGGCTGACTTATTTCAATCCTATGGAGTCAGAAGGTTAATCTCATTTGTCTTTTTTTCATTCTCCTCATCTCCTCCGTCCTCCTATCTGTGAACTGAAAATCAGTCGTAGCGTGTCACCTTCTCAATTCCTAAAATGCATGTTCAGGAGAGAGGCTCCTCGATGAGTGATGTCCTCTATGAGTGAGGATGCACAGCTGCATCTTTGCTGTATCTTTTGCCTTTTCATCCCTCTGATGTATGTAAGAGGTGTGACACACCTGGAATATATAATGTTGGGAACAGGACCGACAAATGCATGTACAGTTGAAACCACAAGTTTACATACACAGTTTAAAGACCCATAAACTTTTTTTTTTCTCACTATCTGACATTAAATGTGACTTAGTATTTGTCTGTTTAAGGTCAGTTAGGATTTGTTAAACACCAGAATAATGAGAGAGAAATTTTTAGATAATTTTTTATTACTTTCTTCAAAGTTAAGAGTTTACTAACTTTTCCTTAGTATTTGGTAGCGTTGCCTTTAAACTGTATGACCTGGGTCAAATATTTTGGGGTTTCCTTCCACAAGCTTCTCACAATAATTTGATAGAATTCTGGCCCATTCCTCCCGACAGAACCGGTGTAACAGAGTCAGGTTTGTTGGTCGCATTGTTCGCATACACCTTCTCAGCTTTGCCCACAAATTTTGTACAGGATTGAGATCAGAGCTTTGTGATGGCCACTCCAAAACATTGACTTTGTTGTCCTTAAGCCACTTTGTAACTAATTTGGCAGTATAATTAGGGTCATTGTCCATTTGGAAGACCTGTTTGTGCCCAAGCTTTAACTTCCTGCCTGATGTTTTGAGAAGTTGCTTCAATATTTCCATCTAATGTTCTTTCCTCATGATGCCATCTGTTTTGTGAAATGCACCAGTCCCTCTTTATGCAAAACACCCCCACAACATGATGCTGCCACCCTCGTACTTCACACCATCCCAACCATGGTGTTCTCAAACTTGCAAGCTTCCCCCTTTTTCCTCCAAATGTAGCAATGGTCATTATGGCCAAAGAGTTCAATTGTAGTTTCATCAGACCACAGGACAGGTCTTTATAAATGAAGGTCTCTGTCCCTGTGTGCATTTGCAAACTGGAATCTGGCTTTTTTATGTTGCTTTTGGAGTAATGTCTTCTTCCTCTCTGAGTAGCCTTTCAGCCTATGTCAGTTCAGGACTGGTTTCACTGTGGATAATGACACAATCTTTCCAGCTTCAGCAGCATCTTCACAAGGTCTTTTGCTTTTGTTCTGGGGTTGATACACACAAACATGTTCATCTCTGGGACACACAACCCATCTCCTTACTGAGCGGTATGATGGCTGGACATTCCCATGGTGTTTATACTTGCATAGAATTGTGTGAACAGATCAACGTGGAACCTTCAGGCACCTGGAAATTGTGCCCAAGGAGGAACCAGATCCCTGGAGTCTATAATTCTCTTCGTGATACCTTGGCTGATTTCTTTAGATTTTCTCATGTTGTCACAGAGGGCAGCAGTGTGTTTAAGGTGTGCCTCCAGTTAACTCAAATCTCGTCAGTTAATCTATCAAAAGATTCCATAGCCATGACATCATCATCTGGGCTTTCCCAAATAGTTTGAAGGCATAGTAATCTTAGTGTATGTACATTTCTGTCTTTAAAGAAATTAATTTTTAAAAAAATTCTCTCTCTCATTATTCTGGCATTTAGCAAATAGAAATAATTTTGGTAATCCTAACTGACCTAAAAGAGGAAAAGTTTAGTCTGATTTAATGTCAGACAGTAAGAAAAAAAAAGGTTATATGTCTTTTTATACTGTGTATGTAAACTTTTGGTTTCATATGTATGTAATATATGCCTAACCTAAAACCCTGCCTTTTAGGTGTTGTCAGACCCTTAGACTGCAACAGAAGGAGCTGGAAAGGTTTGACAAATGTCAAGCAGGAAAATGAATGAGCCAGCAGCTGGGTCAAAGTCACCCAACCAGCTGTTCAGCAGCAAATGATTGATTGAATTGATTTCTTACAATAGAATGTGTATCTATATAATTTTCTTCCTGACTTTCTAAAAATGTTACATTGAGTATGCAAATGAATTTTAATCCTAATACATAATCACAAATTTGCATAGACGTCTAATAGACTAATAATAATAATAATAATAATAACCCTAATGTGTTTTTATGGAGCTTTCCCCCCAAAAGTCTTGAATGAAACATGTCATGGAGGCAATGTTTCCCAAAATTAGAAAATTGACTTTAGTGTCAAAAAAAAAAGAAAGAGATTTTTGCCTGTAATATCTGCCTTTCATATGCTGAAGTATATTACTTGTCAACACATCTGGAGTTGGGCAGTATTCCAGCAGGAATAGCAAAACTGTGGTTCAAGAGTTTCTTGTGGGTCAATCCAGCAATGATATTGATCAGTATACTGTACTGTCTACGCCTCATAAATATATACATATATAAATATATAATGAGCAGGTTAATGTCACATTATATATGCTGTGTAAAATTACAACAGTTCTCCTTGACATTAAGATTGTTTAGACCCTGACAACAACCTCTGGCCTGCAGGCTGTGTGATTTACAGTCCCACATGCATCGTCAGGTCACTGTGTCTTTATGTGGACGGACGAGCAACAGTCTCCATGGTAACAGCCCTGTGGTAACCCTGTTGCCATGAGACACTTAGACAAAAGCAGAGACACACAGAAGGAGCGGGTAACATTAACTTTAATATTTCCTCAAAGTACGGAGTATCACTTATCGATCGGAGACAGTTAATTATTGATGCTGACAGTAATTTAAACATAATATTTAATGTCTCAATCATCAATAGCAGGGCTACGTTTCTAGTTACAGCTCATTTATTGACACCACGATGTTACTATATTTGCTTCTTAATTATCAATTTAAGGACTGATTTCTTTAGTATCCTGTGAAAAGAGCAGGATGATGAAAGACCACAGGGGGGCAGCATTTTATCCTCCCTTTGGTTGATTTAGCCAAAAAAAAAAGTCCACTAGCTGTAGTCTACTTCCCTGTGGATTTGGATTTCACTTCAGTTAATCATTTCAGCTTAATTCAGTTTATATTCAGTTACTAATCATGTTACCCTAGAAGGAGGAAACAAAGCTTAAAACAAATATTGCTCAACTGGAAACAGCAAGTCGAGATGGGCTTGTGGCAAAAGCTACCAAATATAATAAACTAAACTGGTATTTTTGTTCATATAAAATCCGTACTTGCATCTAAAATAGTGCTAATTAGAAATAGTTTAGATAGTTGTTGGACATATTTTTCTGCTGTGATGCGGTGACTGTTTAACATATCAGATTTTTAAGTGCTGGTCTGAGTGAACCTGATGGATTTGTCAAAACATATTCCACAGTGAAGAGCACAGTAATAGTATATTAAAGACAGATTTGAAGGAGCTGTTGTGCAAATGGATTATTTATTTATTTATTTATTTATTTTACCCGAGATATTTACTGAAGAGATTATTTGACAGGTTAGAACCACCTGTGCAATGTTGGGCAGAACCCCCATGTACTGCCAGAACAGCTCAAACCCACCAAGACTCCACAAGAGTAGAGATGAAAAAAAAAAAAAAAAAAATATATATATATATATATATATATATATATAGCCAGAGAAGTACCATAGCAAGGACATTGTAATTACTGCAGAATAGAAAACCTTTTATCACCATTTATCAATTTTCTAGACTGGTTCTTCAGTTGAAAACACTTCAACCCTGTATAAAACAGTTGCTCAGAATTATTGCATTTTCTTTAATATTGTATTTCTGACTATTTCTAAGCCAATTTATTGTAAACTACATATACTGTTAATGAAGAGTATAAGTATGTCTGCAGCTTATTTTCAGAAAATGACAGATGTAGTTTGTCTGTGTTTTTATTTAGTGGTACATAATTTATACTTGCCAATATCAAACATGCCGATACTTTTGGATGCTGATACAATTTACACCTGATCAGCTGCAATGTGAAACCACCTGACTAAAATTGGATGAGACTTGTTTTTCCAACTCATCCCGCAGATGAAACATCGCTTTAAGA